CTACACCGCCTGGATTTGGGATGGGCGTACGTCACCTAGCCGCCTTCAAAGGGCTTGGACAGCGTTCCATGAGCAGGCTGTCCTTATCAGTTGGACCAATGCCAAAGGTCCCCTGGCCGCGACGCGTTTGACGCTCAGGCGGCTAGCCTGGGACATGAAAGCGCCGCACGTTTCGCGGGACAACCTGGGCAACCAGTATGACCTGCACCGCGTGTGCCCTGCTGACCTACGCTCTTTCTTGCAAGGCGCGCAGCGCTGGCAGCATGACCGCCTCACCAGCCACATGTACTCCCACGCTGGTGCGCCTATCTGGCACCGTGGGCTCAGGCATGCGGTCAAGGGTGTCCGTGCCGCAAGGCAGCTGGGAGCTTTGCAGGCGCTATGGTCTGACAACATACCCATGCCGATCCGCGGGGACATGAAGCTCGGCATGCCCATGCGTCCTTGTCAGGCTTGCGGGAAGGCCCTTGCGCCCCATGAATGCTGGGGCGATGTCTTCATGGAATGCCCCGCGCTGCTGACCCGCCCCCCCCCCCCCGAAGGGGAGATACGACCCATGGAGCAGGAGCCGACGGACCATGTCCAAGGCCCTGGACCATGTCCAGGGGCCCCTGAAATACAGCAGGGTTTCGGCGACCTACGCCAGCAGGCTCACGACCACCTCGAGAGTCGGGCCGACCCGACCCTGCCGTCCTACACCTGCGCCCAGGAGCCCAGCGCCATGGAGGCCGAGGGTGTTTTCTTTCCAGGCATCGGACAAGGGGTTGATGAAGAGGTCGACTTTGGGCCACCCGATGGGCGCGACGGCCATCAGGAGGAGGCGCGGCTGGACGCGCAGACTGTCCTCTGTACGCCACCGGTTGATTCGGAACAGAGTGACCCGTTGCCCCCTTCGGCGGCGGCTTCAGCCTCGGCGCCCGACGCACCATGCGGGCATGGCGGGCCCGAGACAGCGACACCAACGCTGAATGGCCGCGGCATCTTCCACCTCTCCCATGCGCTGGCTGAGGCGCGCGACCAACTTATCCAAGCGGGTCTTGGATCAGGCACGCCGAAATTCGAACAGTCCTACCTCGTTTTTGGCATACCCGGGCCCCCCGCCGACCTGCCACGCGCAGATGCGCGGAGGCATGATGTCTGCCTTTGGGGCGACGCCCATGGCGTTTGGGGCCCCGTTTCTTACACCGACGGGTCTGGCTACGACTCAGGCGCCCCCTAGGTGCGGAGGTGTGGACAAGCTGTTGCGCAGCATGATCCTTGCTCTTGGCTCCCAATTAGCGCGCGGTTCAGGCCCCTGCCCGCACTTGGCGCAGACGGTCGGCCGTGCTGAGAGGCGCGCGATCAGGGAGGGGCTCGACGCTTTCCCTGAACACCAGTGCTTCGTCACTGACCTGCTGGCGCTCGCCCAGGAAGGAGAGCGCCGGTGCCCCGAGCTCGAGCAGGGTCGCGCCAAGCATGCTAAAGCGTGGCGGGGCATCTCCATGGCCAGCCGTAGGCGCACTCTGCGGGACCCACCCAAGTCCCGATGGACGCCTGCGCACAAGTCCTTGGAGGAGCTCGCGGGCACAGATCCGCAGAAGCTGCACTATATCGCGCGCTGTGGCGCGGCCTCTCACGCACTGGCTGGGTCGGTAGCCGAGGCGGCAACAGCTGCGCTGAAACAGCACCGCAAGGTCCTGCAGTTCATTTCGTGGGCGGCACTGCAGCTGGCGGTTCGCAAGCAATGGGGATGCGACGTGGGGGCCCCCAGGCCACCCTGCGAGCAGGCCAGGTCCATTGTGGCGGCACGCAGCACGGACCATGTCCTAGCTTACTGCGCCAGTCTCCGGCGGTACCGATGTACCCAATGCGGAGTCACGGCCATAACAGGCCCCTCCCTCGATTCGCTGCTAACTGGCTCTCATCGTGCACGTCGCCCTTCGCGTGTTGCCAGAGCTCTCAACGCCGAGCAATTCCGCACCTTCGGCGAGGGTTGGGCCCTCTGCAGCGACCAGAGGGCCGGCATGGCCCTGGGCGCGGCTTTGGCGCTCGAAGGGAGCCCACAGGCCTCGACCCCCGCAGCCTTGTCGCCACCTGCCCTGGCCGAGGAGGTCAGGGGCGCCTTCGCCACGCTCGGGCGCGACGTGCTCAGGAGCAACAGTGTCTACTGCTGCAGACGCTGCGGGCATCACTGTGCTGCGGGAGATGTCCGCACGGTGCGGAAGCTTGGCTTGAGGTGCGAAGGGCTCTCGCCCAACGAGTCCACGCGCCGCAACCAGCAAGATGCGATCAGGCGCGTC